ATAGATAGATAGATAGATAGATAGATAGATAGATAGATAGATAGATAGATAGATAGATAGATAAACTATCTATAACTTCCATGTCTTTGTTGTCCAGTTAGGTTGATAGCTGTACTTGTTACCATTACTTTGGTGGTCTTTATATTTAATCTTGGTTCTACTTTTTTCACTTTGTTCCTTGACTTTCATTTCTAAAAAGTATGAGCAAATCATTTGGATTTTCAGTTGACATAGTATCATCAGCATAGAATTATTGATGTTTCTTCTATTTTTTTACAGCCATGGTTATTTTCTTATAATTCATCTTGCTTTCATATATATATATTCATCTATAGGCTTGTATGCTTTCAAATTAGTCTTTTCTCTTAACAACTGTGAAGACAAGTCCCTGTAGTTTTCATGGCAATATTTTTAGAAGTGGTTTCCCATTGTCTTCTTCCTAGGTTGACTTAACGCCTATAGTAGGACTAGAACTCACAGTCTCCTGAATTTTAGCCCAATGCCTTTAGCCAGTACATCATATTCTATATATAAATTGAATAAATAAGGAGAGAATCTTGCCTTTTCTGTCTTGTCAGCCTACCAGTCTGTTTCATACAGTCTTTGGCTTCTTGTTGCTATAGATTTTACTTGAAGACAATGAGGTGTTGTGGGATTCTTATTTTCCTAAGGACATCCCACAGCTTGGCATTCTCATAATAGTGCTAGAGAATTACAGGAATCAGTTCCATTTTTAACAATATAATTTGCAAGCAAATCCCTCTGTTTTTTGGCTTATATATGTAAACCCACATACTGTTGTTCATGTGAAATTTTATAAAGGTTGATTATATTACATAGACTTTGAACATATTTTTAGCTGGGAATTTTTTTTATTTGAATTTATAATAGTAGAGTAGAGCAATTTCCACACAGGATGGTAGATGGTAGTGCAGTGATGGTGAACCTTTTTGTTGTGGTGTGCTGAAAGCACACGCGCATGCACCGGCGCCCACAGTGCATTACATCCTGCCCCCCCGCACATACACTTGCAACATCCCCGCCCCCTTACCTGCACTGCATGCACCTACCAGCTGATTTCTGGCCCATTTGAGGCCATTTTTGCCCTCCCAAGGCTCAAGGGAAGCCTCTGCAGCTTTGGGAGGCTGAAAAATGGGCCTTCTGGACATACCAGAAGTGCCCATTTTCAGCCTCTGGAGGGCCTCTGGAGTTTGGTGGAGGCTGTTTTCACCCTCCCAGAGACTTAAGGGAAGCCTCTGGAACCTTGGAGTCTGAAAACAGGCACTTCTGGTATTTCTGGAAGGCCCATTTTTTGGCCTCCTGAGGCTGCAGAGGCTTTCCTCGGGCCTCGGGAGGGTGAAAACGGCCTCAAATGGGCCAAAAATCAGCTGGGAGGTGCATTCATGTACAGTGCAGGTAAGTTTGGCTGGGGCTCGCATGCCCACACAAATGGCTCTGCATGCCACCTGTGGCACACGTGCCATAGGTTTGCCATCACGGTGGTAGTGTTTCTCAATCACAGCAACTTTCAGATGTTCAACTCTTAAAATCTAGGCTTCCAGAATTCTGGGAGGCTGTTTAATTCTGGAATGGTGTGGAGTCCTCCACATCTTAATGTTGCTGAGATGGAGAAGCACTGGTCTAGATTCTAGCATTCTTTGGTACTACTCCCTATTTTTCACATTCAGGAGTCTGATTATGTACACAAACCATGTATTTAAGGGATGTGTGTGTCTGGTGATAGATTGAGAAGAAGAAATCTTCCATCTAGGGAAGGACTATGTATGAGCATATGTGTGCTAAATGTTTATGGGGTACATGATCATGCAGTGTGAGATATTATTAATATGCAGTGTGCATATTATTAAAACAGACAGAACTGGATTTTGTATTGTTTTTCTTCCTGATGTTGTCAAAGAGCGTTACAATTCTATTTGGAAGTTTCAGCAACCATTTTAAATGACAGAAAAGTCCTAGCATTCATACATTGCTGCTAAATATTAGCCTGAGAGCTTATCTTTCATTAAATGGTTGTGTTGCATGTTCACCTATTTAAAAAACAATGCAAAATTCAGTAACTAGTGTGTCACAAAATGCTCATTTATTTCTTCTTACTTGTCCTTTAGAATGGTCTGCAGAGTTTAATCACTGAATTGGTAGGTCAATATGTTTAAATTATTTGAAGAATGAAAAAGGTTTGATTTGCTTCTTTTATTTTGTTCTAGTGAAAATACACTGGTATTTATAGGTTTGTTTGTTTTTTAAAAAAATCTTGTCTCAAGCAGCTGTTTGGAACAGTTTGTGTTTCTAAAATCATTAGGTAGCTTTGAATGTGACAGCTGATTATTTCAGAGCAAATGAGCAACAAATGATGTCTCCTGTGCATGTTAGGTTATAAATAAACCCTGTTGTGTTCTGTGAGGTTAGTTCTGTAGTATGGGTTTAGGATTTATTGTCCTTATGAATGTATTTTCTATTGTGCAAGTCAACTAACAACTCTGTTACAGGGTTGCCTATAAATAGGAATAAGCATTAAGAGCAGTAGCATAGCAAAGAATTGATAATAATTATTCAGTAAAATCAATAATTTCACTGGTCAATAGTTCTTGTTAAAGTCAAATCTTGTCGCTCTTTAGAGATTAATGTTATATTTGCCTCCTTCCTGCTGTCGGAAATCTTTCCATTCTATAAAACAATATTCATTGTTTGTTGTAAGGGATGTAAAAACTCATCTTCAAAACATTTGTATTAAGAAGCTGGCTGGCTCCCTAGTACATTTCCTGTTTCCTTGTACCTTTTTGATAGCTTCTGTGTACTATTGCTATATTCTGTTTATGTGCACATGTGAGCATAAACTGAACCTTCTGCTGTTTTTCCAGCAAAAACAGACTAATCCATTTGATGAATTTGGGTAAATTGAGATTTATTTATAAAAAATTGCCAGACTGGCAAGTTTGCAGGAACCACATCATATTTCTTGGGGGGTGGGGGTGGGGGAGGCTCAAGAATGTCATTTCTTCTTTTTTACTCTTTTAAACAAACACATCTGATTCATTTTTCCTAGATTAGTGGGTGGGTTAGAGAACTTGTCAGATTTTGCTGCTCAAAATCCTCCAACACTTGTGCATATTTTTAAAGAAAATATTTATTTTACTACTTATTTATTAATCTAATAATATATGGCCATCTAACTGGACAGTACAAGAAACTCTGGGTGGTGAACAAAGTAAAAACAAAGCCTTCCACTAAACTATGAAAGACCAGATAAAACCACACTGAAGCTCAGTAAAATCACAAAATCATTAATCACATATACCCATAGCAGAGCTCACATAACTTACATTGGATGAGCCAGGTCTTCATAGCTTTTGCAAAGGCCAATAGAATTGTGGTTGGCTACTGTATATTTCAGGGACAAGGCTTGAAGGATAATATGGATATTTAAGTATATATAACTTTGAACATGTTTAAATTATAGTATATATATAAGTATATATAACTTTGAACAAAAATTAAATTATTTAAAATTATATATATTCCATATTAAAATATGGAATATAATAGATTTAATAATGAGTGTATGTAGATTACATGGAGTGAAATTAGGACAACCTATGTTTTCAGTTTCATGCACATGTTCCTCTCTACAACTGAAAATGTTCACAAAAGTTAATACTTATGTCTCACTACAACTGACGTTTGAAATGTACTTTTACTTTTATTTATTAGATTTACATCTTATCTTTTATACATGATGCTCAAGAACATGTGCATAGCAGGATCTTCTGATTTTTCCTCAAGAGCCTTATGAGGGAGGTTGTGTTGAGGACCAAATCATCTAAAACCACATGGGGGGGGGGCAGATGCACATTTTAAAAAATGGAGTTGGGAGCTTGCATTGCACTGTTGCAGTCACCATTTCAACCTTTTTGAGCTTTTTGGCTAAGGTTGGATTAGAACCTGGGTCTGCCTTCTTCCAACCCAAGACCTAAACCACTATACCATGCTTCTCATTTATGTAGTTCAGTTTATGAGCTTTGGTGTCAAAGATCTCCTCTTTATTTATTTAAGCACACGTATTTTTAAATGTTGCTTTTTGTTAAGATGGTCAAGGGCAATGAAGTTAGATATAACATATCTCAATTTAAACAGTTCCAGTTCCTGGCAGAATTCTATTTCAGTGCAGAAAAAGCATCCTTTGGTAGATTGTTGCTACCACACAACCTCCCACTTCTAATCATACTCTTAAGAGCTTGGTAAGCTCAGAAAAGAGCTGACCAGTAGAAGAGCTGGCCCCTATAAGTACAGCAATAGTTTAAGATAATTATACTCAATCTCTTTCTTTTTTCCCCCCACATTTCACTGTCAGGCAGAACTTTTTGGAATGTTTGTCTATAAATAAGCTTGATGCTTCATCCAATAAATCTTCCCAGATAAACAGCAGGTTATAGGTTAAATACTATTTTACATTTAAGAACTTATCTTTATAATGAAAATTTAAGTTTTAGTACCCTGTGGGCAGCAATTTAATTACGCTATGAAAAGGCAATGCTATTTGCTGAGCACTTAACTACAGCAGAGCAAACTATGGAATAGATTGTACAAGCAGCTGATATAATCCTCCAATCTACTTCTATGTGATCATGATGCATGCAAGAGATATAACTGAAGCAAAGGACCTCCCGACAGATGATCGAGCAGCCTGTAAGTCTCTGTAGTTAGTACTTAACTCTCTGAAACTGTTGCTCTTAAAGTAGCAGTTACTGTACCAAAATGGCCTATCCAAACCCAAGATGGTGTCACCTAAATCATATTGTCATGATGGTGTTGATGCTTATCAGATAAGAAGCCAGAGTAAAGCATTTGAAGAGGTGCTTTATTCACACATGATGTCTGATAATATTTTCTACCCATCAGATTGTGATGTGTCACAGATGGTGGTGACTCTAACCTTAACTCATTAACCCTTTTCTTTTCCTCCAGGGCGAACTCTGCTAGAAAAGCTCTCCAGTCAACAGGAGAACGCACCCCAAGAAGAAGCAGAGAAGCTTTGTTCTTGGATCATTGCAATGGGTCTTTTGCTCCCCTTCAGTGACTGCTTCAGAGAGCCAAGTAGTCAGAATGCACAACAAAATGCTCCAGCATTTGATGTAAGCCATAGCTTAAACACTTATTTCTATTTAACAGAGATTCTTGTGATAGTTTGCTCTTTTATGTTTGCATCCCATTCTTAAGATGCTTACTTTGGGTTGTCATTTAAATGTCCATAAGATATTATGTCCTTTACATTTTTTTATTTTGTACTATCTTTTTAACCCATGTGGGCTTTTTCAGCACAGGTCGTTCTTGACTTGCAATTGTAATCAAGCCTGGAATTACAGTTCTAAGTTGTTGTTATCATAAGTCATGGCATCATGTGATCGGACCTGTTTTTTTTTTAAATTGCAGCAGTCTTTAAGCAAATGTCATGAAGCAAATGCTATGGTTGTTAAGCAAATTCATTTTTCCTAATGGGTGTTTTTTTGCTAGAAGCAAACACCAGAAACTGGCAAAAAAAATGTTACAGTCCATAGTCACATAACTACAGGATGGAGCAGTCATAAAGGTGACTCAGTTGCCAAGTGGCTCAAAATGCAATTACTTGACTATGGGTTTGTGTGTGTGTGTCTGTGCAGCTATTGAACTTTAAAAATAGATCCTAAGTAGCTCTGGGGAGGTCTGTTCTATCTTCAAATGGTTGCTAGGGGACTAGTCCTACATTGAGGATTACCTATATATTAATATATACTAACGTATATTATCAATTGATTAAATAGAAATGCCATCAAACAGGTGTCAATTTTTACCAGTCACAAAGATAGGTTTTCTCCAGAAGGATCTGCTCTCAAACTGTTCTTCATATCTTCTAATATAATGTGCCCATCACCACTAAGCATTTGGATCTGTCAGCCTTGTTATTGATTGTTGTCTTCTCTTTTCTTCCAGTTTTCCCACCATTCTAGATTTTTCCATGAAGTTCGGTCTTTGTATAATGCATCTGAAGGCGGATAATTTGAGCCTAGTCATTTGTTTCTCGAATGAGAACAAAATTATCCATTTCCTTCAGTGATCCATTTGTTTGTATTCCTGGTTATTCTTGGAAATTTTCTCCAAAAACATTCAAAAGCTTGAATGCTGTTTCTATCCTGCTTCTTCAGAGTCCAATTTCCATTTCTATAGAGTATCATAAGGAAAAACATTGCTTGCACAATTCTGATCTTTGAAGGGGTAGATATATAATTTGTATCTTCTAATAAGTTTCTGAACTTGTTTAAGTTCTTTCCTAACATCTTTATCTTTCTTGGCTTGGGCTTCTCCTCTTGGCAATTTCTACAGTTTGTTCTAACATCCACTTTGCTTTCTTATTTTCTGGCAGTCTCTTTTTATATTCATGAAATTTCTTTAAGTTCATCGTACAGTTTTTCTGTTCACCATTATTAACATGTAGGACTTCAAGTGATGTCTTATGTTTTCCTTGAAAATGGCAGTATATGCTCCAGACCGTATTGTGGAAACCGGTTGGCTTTCTTCTGCTTTAATTTTACTTGGAGTTTGCACATGAGCAATTTATAATCTGTTCCATAGTCAGCCCCTGGCCATCTCTTAGCTGTTATAATTGAGCTCTTCCACCTCCTTCTATCAACAATATAGTCAATCTGATTGCTGTGGATGGACTCTCTCTGGTGATGTCCATGTATAAAAATAATAGTTTTGGTTGTTTGAAAACTCTGTAAGCAAGATATTGGCAGATATCGATAAATTGTTCTTATACTTTATTTCATGATCCTAGGCCATGCAGTCAATTATACTTAGTAAATTACTTAATAACGCAATATATTAATTAAATGAAACGGATAAAAATAATTATAAAACAAATATTTCCTGCCTACAGGAAACATATTTGCCCCAACATTATGCAGAATCTTAGAATATACTTAGAAAAGATGCTTTTTTCAAGTAAAATATAAAATGCTTTCTTTTGGACATTTAGTCAGAGGCTGACTGGAATATTTGTCTTTAGGCCTTGGAAAAAATTGGCAAAAGGTAGTATTTTAAAAGAAAAGAAAAGAGTGGCCATAGGAAACCATGGAAGTACATAGAAAAATGCAGTAACACATTTTAAGTCCCTTCAGTTAGTATTTTCCTATTCTAGGCCTATATGTCAACAGACGGATGAGTTTCACTCAAAATGCAAATTTCAAGAAAAATAGAATTTGCAGCAAAAAAACAAAACAAAATCCCAAACAATACTTCAAGCAACAGCCTAAACTGTTATTTATTTTTAATTCCAGCTTCATATTCTGCCCTAAGGTTTTGAATGAAAGACAACGTAGAATACTAGCAAGCAAAGAAAGAACTTTATAGGATAAACCCCAAATAAGCAAAATAATTTATCCACACATCCTTAGCTCAGTAGGAAAACAAAGGATGTCTTGACACTTTAGTAGACAAAACAGAAAGAAAAAAATTGGCAATTGAAATTAAGACATATTTATAGAAAATACCCTATGAGCAGCAGTGTGTATGTATACACCAAAACCTCAGTATAGTAATCGATCTTACGTAAAGTTTTGGAAGTTCCATACCAATAGACACATGAATTCAAGCTCAAAAACCCACCCATAGCCAGCACAGACAAGTCCTTTTAAGGTATTACATTTGGCAGCAGGTGTCTATGGGCATATTTTTATGTCCAGTTCACATCAAAATTATACAACGTGCTGCAAAATGAAGACACATTTATTTTTGGAAGACTCTCTGAATCTCAGCATCCATGCGGTGGGCTCATATTCTGCATTCCTGCCTGGGAGATATGTGTAAGCCTTTCAGAATGAGCAAGATTTCAGATGTTGCATCAAGAACTGATAGACACACATGTGAATCATGTCATTCTCCTTCTTCTGATATGGGATTTTAATGACAGGAACCAGTGACTCATCCCAGTTTTCCTTGCAGCTGAGTCACTGGCAGGCTCTGAGTATTATACAAGAGACTTCATGTCTAAAGAACAGCATCCACTTTTCTGAACATTGAACAAGAAACTATCAGTGGTATGAACATTGAAGGTTTATCTCCAATTGCTTGCAATAAGAACATGACTGCAATAAGAGCATGTCTGTTTTCTTGTCTTTCTTTGCTCACAAATAGCATAGAACAGAACTTTCTGGATAAGTCAAACCACCAGACAATGCTTAGCATATTCCTCAATGCTGGGGCATGCCTATTTAGGGATTCTGTTCTAATCTTGTTTTGAAATACATTCTTACTTTGGAGACAAACAGGGACATTCTGAGAAACTTGATTTTGCAAAACTTCATTCTACTCTCAACATTTACATTCTTTAGACCAGATAACAAAGCAAGTCTTGGGAAGGCTTTGGGAAGTAAACAAACATTTTAGTAGGATGCACTGCTAATTTTTTCTGAAAGAAAAGCCTATTATCTGTTAATCAAAAGTGAATGATTAAAAACAAGTAAGGAGGCTTTTTGGAAATGGCATTAGTCTTTTGTTATACCTGGAACGTTTTATTATTAAAAAAAACTGGAAAATGTTCAAGAAAATTCAAATCAAAAGAAGAGAAAATAGAATTTCCAGTAATATCTGTCCTTTAATTTCCCAGTACTTTTTATTTTGTCTCTTCCCTCCATCTCATCTCATCTCATCTCATCTCATCTCATTTCCTTCCTTCCTTCCTTCCTTCCTTCCTCCCTCCCTCCCTCCCTCCCTCCCTTCCTTCCTTCCTATTGCTGACTAAAAGTCATTGTAAGTTCCTTTCAACTGTTTAAAGTGTTTAAGTGTGGAATTATTTAATTCAATTTTTATCACACATGACTCTTAAATTTTCCTTGTTTGGGGATTTTCCAAGAGCTGATACTATTGTAAACAGAGGGTGCTATGAGTTCAGGATCAGAAGCAGAATAGAGCTGGAAGGGACCTTGGAGGTCTTCTAGTCCAGCCCACTACTCAAGCAGGAGATCCTATACCATTTCAGACAAGTGACTCTCCAGTCTCTTCTTGAAAACCTCCAATGATGAAACACCCACAACTTCTGAAGGCAAGCTGTTCTATCAATTAATTGTCCGCACTGTTAGGAAGTTTCTCCCTAATTCTAGGTTGTTTTTCTCCTTGATTAATTTCCATCCATTGTTTCTTGTCCTGCACTCTGGAGCTTTGGAAAATAAATTGATTCCCTCCTCTTTGTAGCAGCCACTCAAACACTGGAATACTGCTATCATGTCCCCCTAGTTCCAAATCCTGCTGTTCTTCATATGTTTTTGTCTACAGGCCTTTAATTAACTTCTTTGCTCTTCTTTGTACTTTTTCCAACGTCTCAACATCTTTTTTGTGATGTGGTGATCAAAACTGGATGCCGTGGTCCAGGTATTACTACGGTTTTATAAAGTGATGCTAATACTTCACGTGATTTTGTTTCTATGCCTCTGTTTATTCAACCAAGGATTATATTAGCTTTTTTTGGCTGCTGCCGCACACTACTGACTCATATTTAAATGATTGTCCACTAGGACTCCAAGGTCCCTCTCACAGTTACTGTTTTTAAGCCAGTAATCTGTACTTGTAGCTTTGGTTTTTCCTGCCCAGGTATAAAACCTTGCTTTTCTCCACATTTCATTTTGTTGGAAAGGGCCCATTGTTCAAATCTGTCAAGATCTTTTTGGATCCTGAGCTTGTCTTCTTAAAATATCTAACTGCGCTGTAAGATTTTAGTTGATATTTACTTATTCATAAGATGAGTCTGTCTACGTCAGTATAGAAACAAACAAGATAATAGCATTCTTATAATTCAGCTTGCAGGTCTCATCTGGTTTGCTCTTAATGTAAGTACTCTACGGCTTTAACGGATAACATTGCAGTTAACAATGTAATTTCCTATCAATAGGAAGTAACTGTTTTGTAAACTAGAATAGAGGTAGATCTGTGAGCAAATTAGAACTGTTTGGGTGAAAGTAATGAGAGAAGGCAGTAGCTGTATTGATTAGAAACTGGATGCACTCTCCAGATTCTGCAGGCAAACAGGGTGCCTCGCCCTTATAAGATAGCTCCGCAGTTTTAAACCAGAAGCCGACATCATTGTGAAAGAGGATATATAATATACATTTCGTCAGCAGCTGCTTGCTGAGCTACTCTGCTTAATAACAGATGAAAAGTTTGTATTGCAATTATTGTGTTATTGTTATTGAAAGTTTTAAAGAAAAACTGGATGGTTGATATATATATATGACAGTAGCAATAAAGAACTTTCCTTCCTTGTAAACCAAAATGACTTCTGCAAAGGTATGAAAGGTAAACTTCTATCTGATTTATCAAGGGAAAGAAGAGAAAGGAAGACAAAAATATACATTTCATAGTTAAATGTTCAATTTTTGTGATGAAAAGCTGTATATATGCTAATATCGTAAAACTATAACATTGCTGTGTTGTATTAAGAATTGATTGTTTTCTGTATTTTCAGCAGCTATGCCGGGTTTTGCTTCAAAAACTTTTTGTGTGCATGAGCATGAATGAGGTTTTACAAAGTATAAAGGTTGCCATTTGCAAATAGCTGTCAGTGCTGCTAGGCAAGGAAAATAGAAATGGGTTATCATGTGAATTTCAAAGATGACTTTATAATTTCTTCCCAGACCCCAGATTTATATAATCCTTTAAAATATCCCAGATAGGAGCTACATGGTTGTATAAAGGGAGTTTTTAAAAGATATATATGTATAGTATTTTTACTGATATTTCCTTTATAGTAATACATGAGGTACTTGGGATATAACAGTCATGTTTTCAGCAATTATTACATATATAATACTGTTACAGCTTCAATACTTTTTAAAGTACTAGTAAATTTATAAATTACAGTTTTCAGCTTTAGTAAGTTAAATTAACAAATCTTATCATGGCAACTTCAGTAAACAAGCTGACCAATATTACACCTTAGTCTAATATACCATTAAATTAGGTCAAATTCTAAGATAAACTTGTTATTCACAATTTATGTTTTTAAAAGGTCAATAAAAAGTTCATTTTAGATTTGCTATGCCCAAGGTATTGTTCCACAGCAACATGAGGATGGCATTGTGTTTATGAATTAAATTGACTGGGCTAACAAACAACCCAAGCAACTCCTTTAGTTGCTTCTGAGTTCAGTGTGTGCTGTCCCAATACACAATTTAGTTTTAAATGTTCTCTACCCTGTTGACAGGTAATTGGGATTCCCCTGAAGTCTTTCTTTGCACAAGATCAAGATAATTTTGTTCATACAATTGAGTTCTCCAGAAACTTTGACTTAAAATATTTAATATTCTGGTGTTATTTATAAGGCAGATATAAAGGTGGACTTTTTAATACTGCTAGCTCAGCAAATATAGATCCAAGATTTTTTTTTTAAATAAATTCAATTTTAGGTTTCATGAAGTAAAATGTAAAAACAAAGTCTGGAGCAGCACTTAATGGTTAAAAGCAGTTGAGAGATAATAGCTTTGAAAATGCATAATGTTTGTATTTTGTTTTTGTCTTGTAAATAAAGCAAGATCAGCTTTATACTTGGGCTGCAGTCAATCAACCCACTCATTCATCAGATTACACGGAAGGAAGATTTCCAAGGAGAACTCCATCAGTGTGGCCAGCACCAAAGCCTCCAGAGGAAGAACAGAAAGTACACCATATAAAGAAAGGTAAGTGGGTACATGGAAGTGATGCCAGTAACTACCAAATCTTTAAGCCTGTATTTAAAGCCAACATTTCTATTAATTTATTTTAATTCTATTTTTTAAAAAGCCAATGCTACCTCAAAAGTTCTTCCTGTGAAGAACAATATGAGGAAGGAATGCTGTGGATGCTGGTATGAGCTTCTAAATGAAAGGCACCATATAAATAAAATAAAGAAAAGGTGAAATGGAAGTTTTGTATTCACACACTCCATATCATACAATATATTTCACATGAGACTGTGAAATTAATTTTCCATTATTTTTTTCCACTGGATCAACATTTAATTTTGAAGCTTCAGCAAAAAAGGAAGTTCATTTTAGGGAGAAGATTTAAGGGCCTTAATAGCAATTTGCCCATTTTCATTCCTTTTTTTAAAAAAAAGTTTAAAATACTTCCTGAGATAATTTGCAAAGCAAATATCAACACAACAAAATAAAAATACAGTATTTGTCCATGTGGCATTGGCAGTCTATCAAGAAGTAACAACCTATTGGTGGGTTGTTAATGTGGAGCTGAGTCTCCCCAATCCCATTTCACTGCTCCAACTATTGCACCTATTTTGCTCTTACTGTTCATGAGCATTTTATCTTTCTCCACTTTGATTTTATATTGATATCCTGTTTGCCTCTAAAGCTGTCAAATTGCTTGAGGTGCAGTTAGAGGAGGGACGGGACAAAGGAGAAAAGACATGAAGAAATGGTGAAGCAGAAAATTATGGTGAAATGATGAAGATAAAGTTGAACAGAACTTTCTTTAAATTATATATTTAATATATCAGCAGTATATCTAACTGGGTAATGAATTTGAGAAGAATGATTTTGGCATGCTTTCTTTCTGCTTCCGTTTGGAGGAATAAATGCATTTTAAAGAAATATATATAACAATGATTTAGGTAGAGTCACTGAAACAAGTGCTGCGCAGAACAGTGAACAGCAGAATTGAAAGTAGTGACTTTATACTTCAGGTTTTGTTTGCCTTTTTATGATATTTTTGGAGAAAAGTACTGGACTTTTTATTTCACCCTTTCCATTAAGTGGTGTCTTGTGACTGGCCATCCCCATATTTAATGGCACTTAAAACATTTGAACTTAAAATTACAAAAGGTCAACTATCTCTGATATGGAGATTGAAACCATATTATATTTAATTAGATCAATCTACATTGTGCCCCTAATAGATAAATTCCCTGGGAGGCCAGATAAATTTTACATGAACCTTCTCTAGGATGTAAAACAATTCATTATTTGTGCAATGTAATAGCTAAAGTTTGTGTGGGTATAGTAAAAGACCAGTACCTTTGTTTTAAATATTACTTTTGGTTTAATACTTTTTAACTGATAGTTGGTGGATTTCTGGTTTATTTTTACTTTATATCTGTTATTGTTTTAGATTTATCATCTGGGTAACAATGGTATTAACATAACAATAGAGGAGTTAATGTTATATTCTGTAATTTGCTTTGCTTGTTGTTGGTACATTATTCTTAATCAGGAAAGGCAATATAGTGGCAATCATATAGTGGCAATTGTTCTCTTGCAATTACCACTATAATTTCTATGAATCAATTTTAGGATGAAAATGTGTATTCTGTATATTCAACTTGCTCTGACATTTAAATAAATTAACCACTCAATGAGCTGTCATTTCTTCAGTTTTTAAAAATTCATTTCTGATTTTCAAATACTGGCTTGACCTCTTCCTAGTCTTAACATCCATAGAAATACATCCAGTGGAAATATTGTCTTGGGAAGAATGCTTTAGAACCAATGTTGATGGTTCTAAATTCTTAGTGCTTTCCTCTGGGATGCTAAGTGCTATGTTTTGATTTTTATTGAAAAAAAACATACTCAAATGTCTCAGTAAGTATGTCCAATTAACTAGCAAAATTAAAATTAATTAGTACAATTTTTTTGTATCCAAATTTGTGTGTGTGTGTTTGTGTATATTTGTTTTTTTTTTCTTTTCCCATGTAAGATTAAGAGTATCTTGGCGATGTTTCGGCGAGGTCCCACTCGCCATCCTCAGGCTGGTGCTTTCGGCTTCATGCCAGTGCAAAGCCGAAAGCACCAGCCTGAGGATCGCAAGTGGGACCTTGCTGAAACATTGCCAAGATACTCTTAATTTTACATGGGAAAAGACCCGAACACACCTAGACCTACATACCTGTGCCCATGAAAATCTATGAAAACATGTACATGTATACGTATATGTATATGTATATATATATATATAAATATATGGATCTTTGGTTATTCGGGTTTACTCCCGCGGGGAGAACGTTTTGGCAGAATCTCATCTGCCATCATCAGACTTCTGTATTGTGTTTGTCTGTGAGTCAGACTTGAAAAGTCTGACTCACAGATGAATACAAAGTACAGAAGTCTGTACAAAGTACAGAAGTACAGAACACAATACAGAAGTCTGATGATGGCAGATGAGATTCTGCCCAAACGTTGCTACAACTTTTAAAGCACAACTATAATGATGTGGGAAAATACCCGAACAAAGCTGAATACCATACATGTAAGTACCTGCGAAAACTTAAGAATATATATATACACATACATACATACATACATACATACATACATACATACATACATACACCATACAGTACATACCTAGGTTAGCCTGAAGAGTATTGAAAATAGCAGGTTAAATGGAATGGAATGGAACACAAAACAAATTAGATCATTGTCATCATCCTTCTTGAAAATTTTCTTCAATCCCACAGACTATATCTACAGTATTTGTTGTTGCACAAATTGGGTAGGTAGGTTTTAATAGTTTTAGAAGGAGAAAAGGGAATTTTATTTCTGATTCCCCCCCCCCCCCCCCCCCCCCCCCAATAACTACTTAGACAACCAAGGGAAGCTTGGTAATACAAACTGGATTTGCTGCCCAGAATCAGCCAGATTAGAAATGGAGAAAATAAATGGAGGAAATAAATGATTCAATATGTTGAAAAGAACAACATATTGATTTCTCTCTCTAGCTTAATATACTACACTCCATGGGCATTATCATTTTAAAACTGGCTGCAGTGTAAATGTTTCTGCATAGAAAGATAAAAAAAACTCCTTACTGTTGGGAATACAGTCTGGGAAAATCACATATGGAGTGAAAGTAGCTTAAATCATCAGCCAGCTAATTGCAGCAGGTACATCCCTGTTTATATTACTCTAGAGCTCTGTTCTTCACTCCGTCATTAAATACTTCAGATTTTACAATTGTGGGAATAATGGGGATTTTAAAAATAATCAGTAGAGTAATTTAGGATATATGATCTTCCATGTTAATTTAAATTACTTCATTGTGTCAGTATTTGATTCTGCTATATTCATTATTATAATGGTTTCCAAAGAAGCACATATTCTTTTATTGCAGGCAAGGATATGTACTCCTGAATTCCATGAATACTTGTTAACAATGTTTCTGTAAGCTTCCTTACAGTCCCAGTCAAGAAAGATTCCACAATGGTTTCTTCCTAAAATAGTTGTCATTCATTTCTATCCTTCAGCCCTTGTCACTTGCTCTTGCCCCACATATGGTAGGTAGAATTGATTTCCCTTACTCTGGAAGTTATTGATATAGATCAGCAAACTTCAACCTTTCTGGCTCTGTGGACTGGCTTGTGGTGGCAGTGCTGTGGGCAGGAGGGGATGGTTTCACATGTGCAATCTAATTCCAGGCATGCAAGTTCCAATCTCACCAGGCTCAAGGTTGTCTCGGCCTTCCATTCTTCCAAGGTGGGTAAAATGAGGACCCAAATTGTTGGGGGCAATAGGATGACTCTGTAAACCACTTAGAGAGGGCTTTAAAGCCCTGTAAAGTGGTATATAACTCTAAGTGCTATTGCTATTGCTATGCACAATGGAGCTTCATGAGCTCACCAGCTGCTTGTGTAGCCCAGTTCCCAGTGGGCTGCAGCTGGTAGCAAGCCACGACCAAGTAATGGGCCATGGACCGGAGGTGAGGGACTCCTGGTATAGAACCAGGAATATCAGCACTTGAAAGTTGAGACCATGTTCATGATAAGAGTTAGACATTTTCTTCTAGAATTCTTACCTCCGGTGTGGAGTACTAGACTGCATAATCAGCAAGGTTGTCACGACATATAACATACATGAAAAGATATGAGTGTCACGTGGAGGAAGGCAATCCTGCCCCAAGTGATTGTACTACAGTTTGTTAAATATGCAGGTAGGGGGAGAAATGTTTTTTTCAATGCTGCTTGGAAAGTTGTTGTAATTGATAAAACATTACCTTCACTAGAAATGCATTCAGCAAAGAGATTATACATCTCTCTAAATGCAAGTTTAAAGTTCTTCCCAGTCAGTACCATCTCTGTTGCACTGCTCATTCCTGATGAAATTAGAGAACCAAAGTTGCTAATATTTTAAAATGCCTTTAATGCCTTTAAAAAGGCATTAAAGATACATTTTTGTGACCTGTTTTCTAATTGTTGACATTTCTAATTTAACTTTTAATTGATATCGCAGTTTGTTTTATTCTGATCTTTTGTTTTGTCTAATACTGCCATCATGTTCTGATAGTCAGCAGTATAAAATTTAGTTATAAATCATACAGTTTGGTACTTACATCTTCTGGGGGAGGTTTTTCCAGCCAGTCTCTTGCAGGTCAGCTAAATGTTTCTGTCTTTGTACTATTGATGAGTGTGCTCTTTTAAAAGTACATTTAACTATGCAGTATTGATTTTAATTATTCAAACTGAATCAAGCACTGAAATTTGCTTATTGGTAAAAATTACTTTGTGACTATCTTCAGTTCTTTTCATTCATGCGGACAGTAAATGGTCGATGTTAGGGTTTAGAGGAAAGTTAAATTGAATGTGAATGAATATGCACGATTATTATATAAGTTAATGAGTTAGAAAACGTCATATCCAATTTAAATAATTGTCTTAGTAGAAAATATTGTGATTTAAAACAACTGAAGAGTAATTTTTCATTAGAGGGTAGAATGTCAAAATAATTTATTATAGTCTTAACAGTCAATATGTATTCGATGTTCTTTATGATGCCAACAGTAGAAACAGAAGTGATCATACTAAGATTTTTCTTGTAAAAAATTAATCCTGAATAGTCTCTTTCTCTAAACGTATCTTACTTTCAACCATGAAAGCGTTTCTATTTCTCGTTTTCCCCCTCTAATCAGTACAACATGGTGGCATCTGATGCTTGATTCATCAGATGACCTGGAAAAGGTAATTATAAATCCCTAAAAAAATACACTTCCTATTGAGGATAATTTAAATAAGCCATCGCACCGAGTCACTGCATGATTCAGCTCAGAAATGGAGGAAAATAAGACACCTTAAAATCAAAGAAATTATGTGTCTCTATATTAGATATGTGTATCTAGGAGCCATGAGCCTTTCAAGATAGCTTAATATTTGGAACAATAAAAATAATTTTTAATTTTACTTCCCAACCCAGAACCCGAAGCTGCTGCTGAGGCAACAGAGACAGAAGATACAGAGATTGTTCAACAGGTACAGGTAAGATCTTGCTAGGAGAATACTTAACTACAGTATATTCAAACTTTCCCTATTTAAATTACTATTGCTAAAGACAATATTTAAATGGAAAACAAATCTCTTACAACATACAAAGTACAGCCCTTGGTTATATTTCTTAGCATAACATAATTTGATTTTAAGTTTACTTTTCAGAATCAGTGATAGGAATACATCTTTGGGCCAAAGGCCTGGAAGGGGCCAAACCAAAGCACTAGGAGGTGGGATAACAGCATACAACTCAGTATCAGCATCTGTGCAACTTGAAAAATCTTTGGATTGACTGTCCATTTTTCCTCCCCCCGCTTCCTTCCCCACATTTCATCAAAAGAAACTAGCTTCATATGCTTACAGTTACAGAGTCCATTTTAATGATTTTGTGTTAGATTATTCTTCTCTATAATAAAAGTGTTCATTCTTAAGGAAGTTTGCTTAGCATCGTGGCAGTAGAAAGAAAGGTTACTTTTTTGTTATTTCTATATTGTGATTTAAATGAGTTTAAATTTAAAAAAAAAACACCCCTGGAAATGTTTGTTTTAAATTTATAATCAGGAGTAACAAGCAGTGGCTTCATTGGTTCTGTTTTGTTTATTGTTCATAACATATTCCGAAAGAGAAACTTGGAATGGCATGATGCGCAGAGGAGAAGATAATTGGGCACACGTATAGCTTGCTTTAACTTATAGTCCGTCAAAACAATTATATTCTAAACCTAAACTTATATAGCTGCTTTATTATCCAGAATGTGTTAATGGCAAAATACTTAAGTGCTGAAGGGACTAAATATGTGAATGGTAATAGATACTAAGGCAGTGCCCATCAGGAAGCAATATTTTGGATTTTGGTCAGAAAAATGGTTTGTGTGCCATTCATTAAAGCAGCTCCTCTTTCTTCTACAGTATGTTAGCCTGAGGAAAGATGTAGTGGCTACTTTAAGGAGGAAGGTATTTATATTATATAAATATAAGGGGAATACAAGAGAGTGACCAGGCATACAATGGGGAACACACATTAAAGAGAGCCACTTAGGAGGCAAACAAAACTCTTTAATGTGAAACTGATGAGGAACCTGTCAGTTTCAGGCATAGTTGCTGCCTGCAGTAGATTCTAATCAATTTCATCAGTCATAGAACTGAGCTTGTTAACTTGCAGTTAGCACTTTTTAGGAATGCACTGGGCTGCAGAGAAAAGCAGCTCAAGAATAAATACAGTATCTTGTTCTTGGAAGCTCACCATTCTGCAAAAGGAGAAGAGGAAAAAAAAGACACAAGACAATGTGTACTAGCTGACTGTAATGGCAAACTTATGACCAACAGAGAGCACTCCAAGATCATAAATGTGGGCGCTGGTCGCAAAGTTACTTTTTTATCACTTCCATAACTGCAAATGGTCACTGGTTGAGGCTGTCACTAAATGAGGACTACCTGTGTTTTGTTGTTGCTAGATACAAGCCTTTTTAAATAAAAGCCTCGGGATTCCACAAGTTACTGTGTAACAATGGAAAAGCCTGGGTCAAAGTATGCAAGGCTATTTGAAAGCTACACATGCAAGCCTATCACCTCACATTTTCAGGCAGTTTTTAAAATGAATATATTCATTTAGTCTCATATGCAAATATCTGTTAATTTTTCATGGATATTTTTCCCACTTTTCCTTTTTTAAAGACAAGGAAGAAAAACACTCAAGATATCAATAATTGCAAGCGTGAAATTAATGGTGTGAAACATAGCCAGACAGACAATAATTTGACTTTGTTATTTAATGCTAAATGTTAAATAGAAAAAAACAATGCTTAGGAGAAAGAACCCAGAACAGCTATTAGAGGGAGGGGTTTTTTTTTGGGGGGGGGAAAGATTTTTCATTTGGCTTCTGAACTATGGAATGTATTAGAATTTGACCTCTAATCACTTCGATAAATTTATTTTTTAGTCTGAAGAGAAATAATATACTGAACGAAATGCGTACATGAATCTAGAAAAATTATTATGGAATGTAATAAATTGGCTGTTCCTTGTACTAAGATTGTTGAAAAAGATGCAGCCCAGATCCCGGAAATAACACCATTAAACACCAAATATTGAACATTTCTTATTATAAATCTTTAATGAGAATTTCCATTACCTTCAGCTTTCCTGAATCATCTTATTTTCTGGACACATATTCAATAGTTACAGATGTGAAATTTAAAGAGAAGTCCATTATGATGTATTTCTACACCAGTGGTTTCCTTCATCATGTAACTGCCCTTTAGAAATCAAGATTTCATGTTGGAAGCATAGAATTAGGGAAAACATCATTTCCCCCAAATTTATGCTCTGGTAAGCATAGGACTCTTTCTCCAAGAGTAGGAATTGGAAACAGCGGTAGTTTAATGCTCCTCTGTGGTTCAGTAGCTTCTCCCTTTTCCTTTTTACCCAATTTCAATTAAACCAAAAGAGTGTTGCCTTTCCCACAGCATTAAGCACTGTTATGCAGTTTCCAAAGATACAATAGAGTGAATACCAATTTTCATTCTACCAATCCACTTGAGTGAGTCCTGGGCTTTCTGTAGTATCTACCATAGTCATTCTTGAATGAAAAGTGGTGACTTTGAAATGACCCTTTCCCTTCCTCCCCTCCCCCACCCAACCAATAGGCCCTTTATTCTCTCTTGCTATAGCAGTAGCTAAGGCTGTGCAGTTGTAGCATAGAGGAACACCAACCTATTGTATGTTCATTGGGGGGAAAGTCGCAAAGTTCTTCTACAACCTTGAAAAGAGGCCTCGGGGTACACAGTTGTGTATGTTTTCACCACCTGTTGATCTTACTCAAGGGATTCTAGCAGAAATCTCTTGTGATCCTTGTGGGAATGAGCTTCTTTTTATAATTTGGGATTTGAGAATTTTCACACAGCAATTCTGTTAACAGGAGAAAAATTTAACCAAGGCTCCTAACAATTCTTTAACCTCAGTGCTTCTTAAAAGTATATCAATCAACATAGCCTCAGATGACAAAGCAAGCATCACAACTGCTTGTTTTTTGTGTCTTTATATGGATTACTGTAAATGTCATTTACTTAATTATTGAGGTCTGGAAAAATAGTTTATTCTGGAAATTTATCAAAATATCATGTTTGGGGAACATAATAATTCTTTATTGTTTTAGATCTTCCTGATCCACAAGACAGACATTAGTCAATGCTATGCTATTTTTTGATCTTGGATACTTTACCATAGCCTTGGTGTGGAGTTACAACTGTGGATCAAAGTTTGAGACTGCGGCTTGAATAGAACCTTATGATGAAAACAGATTTCACTATTGGAATAAACAGGAGAAAAAATATATCTCCTTTAGAGCTGCAATGGAACAGTTTTTCCTCCAGAGAAAGATGTGTACATTTAGCATCGATCTTTGAAAAATTAATAACTATAATGCAGCTTTAACTTCCACCATCATATCAATTTTCAACCCAAGCTATACAGTACAATTAATCAAATAGAATAGTCTGATTCTGCAATATATAAACTTTTTATTGTTAAAGCTGTCTGTAATTGTACATTATGTAAATTTTTTCCTAGGTTTATTTTTGTAAGGGGAATCCCTGTGCCAAAATCAAAATTATTATGTAACTAATACTAGTTTATTTTACTTTTTTAAGTATGAATGTTGGAGTTTAGGTAAAGCATTTGACAAAGAGTATTGCGAAATATCCTGATAGCAGGTCATTGAAGTATGGATTGCATGGCAAGTCTGTCCTTATATAACTGGCTTGAAAATTATACTCAGAGGGAGCTCATCAATGGCTTTTCATCAGAGTGAAGTGATCCATAATAATAGATATAATGGAACAGGTTCTAACTGAATGTTAGAAAACCCATAACAAAAAAGCATTGCAATTAGTTCCCCAGACAAGTAGTGGTCTCCTTTCAGTGGATATGTTCAGGAAGTAATTAGCCAACCATCTTTCGGGATACTTTAATTTGGATTTCTTCATGGCCCCTTCCAAGAGGGTGGTTCTTTCAGGAAGAATGACCTTTCTGTTTGGTTAATCATTGTGCAATTCAGGAATGTCTATGGAGATTCTCAGTCATTCAGGCTTGTCCCTTTTTCCAAGAGGCAACTGGACTTTCCAGTTTTTCTTTGACGATGATTCACTTATCATCCAAGAAGCTTCTTCAGCTTCTTGGATGAGAAGCAAAATGTCTTCAAAGAAAAACCAGAAACTCCAGTTGCCTCTTGAAAAAGCACTTTGGGGATAACTCAGGGATGGTTAGGGTTATTAGCAGGGGTGGGCTGCTATGGGTCCGTCTGAATTCAGGAGAACCTGTAACAAATGTTATGGTCGGTTCGGACAACCTCCAAATCCCACCCCTGGCTGGCCCCTCCCCTCCCAAGTGGGGAGCTCCCAAGTCTCCACGTGGCCCATTTTGGATGCGAGGTAAGTGCAGGGCCCACATGGAGGCTGGGGGATGGCGAAAACTGGGCCTCTCAGAGGCTCCAGAAGGAAGACCGTTTTCGCCCCCCCACGGAGGTTCGAGGAAAGCCTGCAGAGGCTGGGGCAGGTGAAACATGCTGTGATGCAGGAGGTCGACTAGGCCGTGCCCACCAGGGCCACGCCCACCCAGCAACCAGGCAGAGAACCCGTTGCTGAAATTTTTGAAGCCCACCCCTGGTTATTAGGCGGAGACAGAAGACAACATAAAGCCAGGCACTAATTTCCAAATAAAGAATGAGACAGGTAAAAGGCAGTAGATAAGCTGTGGGCAATGAAAGGAAACAAGAAGCCAGAAATGACAACTATAAATAAAACTGTCAGGCTGGCAGGCTTCAAATAGATTTAATAAGGAAGAAGAGGAAGGATCACGTATTCTTAATAAACCCTTGTGGTATTCCATGATAATCATGATGGTTGTGCTGTATTTCAGCTTCAGAGGTAAAAAGTTGCCTTGAGCATGCAAGGCCCAAAGCTGGCACCTGGTTGCCAATTTTTAAAGTGATGTCAC